TAGCTCTCAAAAGAAATTTCAGTCGTTGTACTGTTGATATTTGGCTCTGTGGACTAATGAGTTTGCCGATCACTGCCCTAGGAGATGTATCGGTAAACATGTTGCTACGAGAGCTGTCTGAGATTGTGCTGCCTGTGGTTTCTCCTAAGATTTTTATGATTTCACAACTTACATTTAAGTCTTTTATCCATTTTGAGTTTATTCTTGTATATGGTGTAAGTTAATGGTCTAGTTCATTTTATTATTTATTTTTTTGGCATGGACCTGTACAGTTTTCCCAGCATCCTTTATTGAAAAGACTGTCTTTACTCCACTGCATGCTCTTGCTTCCTTTGTCAAATATTAATTGAGTATAATGGCTTGGGTCGCTTTCTGGGTTCTCTGTTCCATTGATCGATATGCCTTTTCTTGTTGCCAGTACCATGCTGTTTTGAGTACAGTGGCTTTGTAGTATAACTTGATATCTGGTACTGTGATTTCTCCAACTTTGTTCTTCTTTCTCAAGATTGCTGTTACTATTCAGGCTTTTTTTTGGTCCCATATAAACTTTTGGAGTATTTGTTCTAGATCTGAAAAGACTGTCTTTACTCCACTGCATGCTCTTGCTTCCTTTGTCAAATATTAATTGAGTATAATGGCTTGGGTCGCTTTCTGGGTTCTCTGTTCCATTGATCGATATGCCTTTTCTTGTTGCCAGTACCATGCTGTTTTGAGTACAGTGGCTTTGTAGTATACCTTGATATCTTGAGTATACCTTGGTACTGTGATTTCTCCAACTTTGTTCTTCTTTCTCAAGATTGCTGTCACTATTCAGGCTTTTTTTTTGGTCCCATATAAACTTTTGGAGTATTTGTTCTAGATCTGTGAAATATGCCATTGGCATTTTAAAAGGGATTGCATTGGATGTATAGATTGCTTTGGGTAGGATGGGCATTTTAATAATGTTGATTCTACCAATCTATGATGCGAATGTTGTTACATTTCATGTTGTCCCAAAACTCCCTTAAACTCTCCTCCTGCTTTTTAATTATGTTTTTCCATTTGCTGCTCTGAATGGGTGTGTGTTTTTTCTACCTTGTCTTCTAATTTGCTGATTTGGTCCTTAGCTGCTTCTGGTCTACTGTTGAATCCTTCCAGGGTGTTCATTATTTCAGCTATGTCATTCCTCGTTGCCAATTGGTTATTATTTATTGTTTCACCTTCTCTTTTCATGTTGGTGTAGCTATCATTAATTCTTATTGAGTTGCTTGTAATTCTCACTGAGTTGTTTGAGCGCCCTTATTACCATTACTTTGAATTCTTTATTTGACAAACTGCTGGCCTCCATTTCATTGAGGTCTTTTTCTCGCGATTCCTCCCTTTCTTTCATTTGGAAATGTTTTTGTCTCCCCATTTTTGCCCCTTTGTTTTTGTTTCT